TTCTGTACATTTTTACTGTTAAAATGAGTGCCTTAGTTCTAACAGTTTTAGTCTTTTTTTAAAATTTCCATTATAAATACAGTTTAATTATTTAGCAACTTAATGCTAGTATACAAAACTTTTTACATATATTTAAATTAAATGTATTTTAATAGTTAATTTTCCATTCATATTTCAAGAAGATTTTTTTATGAAATTTTTTAATTCTAGCTCACTGAAATTTTAAACATTTTCGTAATATAATTTTGAATCATTAACAAATAAAAATTTCTAAAAAATAAAGGCATAAGTCAAAAAAATATTGAACACATTGGGTTAGTTTGCATAAAGGCTATGCTTCACTTAAACAGCATTACAAGTAAATGATCAATTACAGAAAATTTTCAATTGGTTTATGTCAAAGAAAACTTGAAATTATAATGAACATTATTATGAGATTCCTTAAATTGTTTTTGTGAAATATTCCTTTTTTCCAATAGCACTCTGAGTTTTGTTTTGTTACAATTACTAAATAATTGTTATATGTTATAAATTAAATTTATTTCTAATTTAATAATAAATCAATTAACATTGAACAATGTTAGTTCTATTACTTTTAATTATTAAATTAAATAAAAATTAAAAGTAATAGATTAGATAATAGATAAAATTAATAAAATCCATTTTTTGTTTTGAAATTTTTTTTCTATTTAAATGTTTAAATAATACTATAATACATAATGTTGTTATATTATAATTTTGATAATATAATACTATTATTATTTTGTTTAAAATTTAAAAATAAAACTTGAAACTGCAACTAGTTCATGTATCTAATGAAATAAACAAGAGCTTACAAAAAAACAAGAAGTATTTTTTTTTTAATGCATTTTTTTATTTTTATTATTTTCGTTATTCACTTCTCCAAAGCCAAGAAGATCACTTCAGTCAAGTAGGCTACTTTATTGTGGTTACAACCCATCTCTCAACTTTTTAATTCTGAAACATGAACCTTAACCAAGTTGAAATAATTATAAAAAAAAACATGCACTCAGATTAGATTTATTATTTTCTAATTCAAAGATTTTTTGGATTAGAACCAGAATTCCAACCTAAACAATCTTTGAATTAGTCAATATAGATTCTGAGTGAATAGAAATCAATAACATAGATTATTATCATATATCTGAGTGAATAGAAATCAATAACATAGACTATATAATAAATAATATAGATTCTGAGTGAATAGAAATCAATAACAATTGTGTCACATGATAGAACCGAAAATATTTATCCTCGAAAAAATCACCAAAATATTTTACAACCGAACAATTTAGAACCGAAAAGTATACTTTCATTGCAGGATTGAATTACAAAATCCCTTCTTGCGTCGAAAGTTTTTTAACTGAATTATAAAACCGAAAAAGTTTGGATCGAATTATTAATTCTTGATGTGTTATTTGAACACTTCAAGACTTTTTGCAGACATGGTCTCATTATTTAGAGTGTTCTAGAGCAAGGTAGCTCTATATAATGTACATCATGAATCATATGGAGCCTTAAGGAGGTAGAATGATGAATTGATAAAAAAATGAATTTTTTGTTACAATGGAGTTGTAGCATAAAGCGTAAGATTTTTTATGGTAAAAGAATTTTTCATAAATGTTGGACTTAGACAATTAATAGATTTAAAAGTTTCATATATGACTTTCAATTGAAATTGTGTTCATATCTTAAATAAACCTTAGAAAATGCTTTACTAAAATAAATTACATATTGAGATTTTAACAAAAAAACTTTTTATTTTGCTATGTTGTTTTTTGAGAGGTTTGTTAATTTTTTTTTTCAAAAGAAATCTGGTCTGATAAAAGTATTTATCTCTGATATTGTTAGAATAAGTATTGCTATTAAAGTTAAATTAATTTTAAGTTAAAACATTTAAATTTCTAAATAAATAGTTTTTTAAATAAATAAGTTTCCCTCTAAACAAAAATTGATTCTATTGTTTTATACAATGCAAAAATGGACAATGGGACTAGCAATTATAAACCCATCTCCTTGACATCTACTTGTTGTCGTGTAATGGAAAGAATGATTAATAACAAATGATAAATTATTTCTTACTCAATAACCTAATCATAAAAGAACAGTATGGTTTTATTCGTAAATGTAGTACCTCCACTAATATTCTAGAAAGTCGTCATGACTTGACTTTAAATATTCAGCGTCGCATTCCTACAGATATTATCTATTTTGATTTTAAGAAAGCTTTCGATTCAATTTCACATGCTAAGTTACTAATAAAATTACTCACGGAATAGTTGGCAATCTTCTGAATTGGCTAATTTTCTGCGCATGAGATCACAGGTGGTAAATTTAAACAATGTTACTTCCCACGCTATATCTGCAACAAGCAGTGTTCCACAGGTGAGTACTCTATTCTAGAGTATCTACTCTATTCTTGTTTATCAATGATGTTAGCCACATTAATAAAGAGCTTGATGTCAAGCTTAAACATTTTGCTGATGATATTAAATTATATTCAGTCTGTACGTGGCCCACAGTCAGATCTTCATACAGCTGTTAATCTTTTTTACGAATGGAATTCTACTTGGCAACTCCAAATAACAACTAAAAAATCCTATATCTGTACAATTGCTAACCAATCAAAACATAACCCATTGTGTTTATACCATAAATAATCATGAACTTGCTTATGTTAACTGTATAAGAGATCTTGAAGTTACCATTGATAGGAATCTTAAATTTAATCAACATATCAATCTTATCGTACATAAAGCTATGTCTAGAGCCTATCTTATTCTAAAATCTTTTTGTTCAAGAGATAGATCGCTGATGGTTAAAGCCTACTGTACTTATGTACTACCTATCCTTGCTCTTGTGTATGCTCTTCAGTATGGTCACTTTACACTATAGGCCTGATTAATAAAATTGAAAAAGTGCAGCGTTTCTTTACTAAAACAATTGCTGGTCTATATTTCCTATGCTCAGCGTCTATCCATACTAAAGCTCAATACGTTAGAATATCAACGAATGTTTAAAGATTTAGTTTCGTGCTACAAAATTCTTAATGGTAAACTGGACACTGACCTGATCAGAGAATGTGGTGTCTGCATCGTCTGTCTCGATGTTTAAGAACCGTCTTGCTGTAATGGTTTGTTCAAGTTGATACAATTTTGTTTAAACTTGTCCATCACTTGATACAGTTTAATATTTCAGTAAAAAATTTCCTTATGTATACTCCAGTATTAGTGGCCTTCGGGTCCTTCTGTTGTTTTCAAATAAATAAATAGCTTTAGAATATCTTTATTTGTTGATTTTTAAAATGCTGAGCAAATTTTTCAGACTTTTTTTTTTTTTTTCCTATACATTTTTTTTATTTATTTGTTTTTAAATTGCCTGTTGTTCAAGCAAATAATTTAAAATGTTTTTTTAAAGTAGCACCTGCATATAAAATAGTTTTGACTATTATTACAAGTTTTTCCTGGGCTTTTTGTCCTGTTGAAACCTACACTTTGGCTCGTTAACATTAAAATTGTCCTTGGTAGGCACTAAATAGTTTTTAAAAATGTCAATATATTTATGTTCGTCCATTCAACTGTTGTATAACGTGAAAACCTGGACCATAATATCTAATGCAACCCCAAATACTAAACTCCACCTTGTAGCATAGGTATAATACATGGACTATCATACTTTTTATTGTGGTGCCTAAAAGACAATTACTTTTAACATTTAGGTTAAATTTATTACTGAGAAATTTTTTTCTTAGTTTATAATTACTCATATTTAAAATTGCTTTGCAAAATTTAATTTGTTTTAAACGGTCTATTGGTTTTAATAACAGCAATATAGCACTACTTATGAAAGCAATATAGCACTACAGTTTGCAGTCAATTAGTTTTCTATTAACTGTTTGTCTTGATATATAGGATTTTTTCTGGCAATTCTATAAATAGAAACATCATCAGTGGTTTTTGACTTTTGGTTGCTCGTTAATATTTTGTTTGATTCCTGTTCTCGCTATATATATATATATATATATATATATATATATATATATATATATATATATATATATATATATATATATATATATATATATATATATATATATATATATATATATATATATTGATTACTTTTTTTTTTTTTGCTTTTTTTTTAAAAGGGGGGATTTAATATAAATATTATTTGAGCTCACTTATTTTATAGTTTCTTAATAGAAACTTATTTTTATGCCTGCATTTAGATATCAATTCTGATTTTTTTTTTAATAAACATTCTTGGTTCACATGTGTAATTATTTCAACTTTTTTTGTAGGCATAGTATGCATTTTTTAGAAATATTATATGCAGGTGCTACTTTAAGGATGGATCAATTCAGTATAAAATCATTATTAAATTTATCTTTTAATTCCCATATGTATTTCAAAATTACATATTATTTTGCAGTCATAAATACAAAATTTATGACTGCAAAATAAAACATTGAGCAAGCTTCTTTATCATAAGGTTTGAATCATATTTGTACAACCATTTTGTTTTTTTAAAAGAAATTTCAAGAAGCTTGTTAAGAAGTTTGTTGCCTCTTTGCCTAAAGTGCTTTCAATCTAAATCTATGTGAGGTGAATACTAAAGAAAACTCCTTTAATGACAATTTTTCTATCATTTAGTTAATAATTAATTATATTAAATTAAACATTGTTTATTATACAAGGAAATAAAAGAAAAAGAAGAATCATTTAGATGTAAGTTTAAAAAAAAAATTTTTTATATATATATATATTTTTTAAATCTTTAACAGTATATTTATTAAATTTTTTCAGGGCTCGTGATGGTAGGTCAAAAGAGAAAACAAAGTTGAAAGGAAAACCAGAAAAGTCTTCATCAAGACCAAAAAGAAGTGTTTCTCCTAAAAAAACTAAACCTAAAAACAGACCAACAAAAGATCGAGGTCGTGATAAAAGGAAACGAAGAGCCTCAAGCTCATCCAGCAGGTATATTACATTTGCAAACTTTAAAACATGAAGTTCAATTTTTTTTCCAGTTATTGCATCTGTGGTTCAAAATGTTTGAAGTTTACATTTTTTATGATACTAATTTTTATAATGCTATTTTCTTATTTAAGTTTGACATAATAAATCATTAAAAGCAAATTTTTACAGCAGAATGCTTTTCTTGGCATTTAGCTGGTTTACTGATCGTGTTAAAATATTTTTTTGCTTATTCCATTGCTAGAAAAATTAACATTCTTGGTTTAACTTGTTTAACATCTAAAGCTGTGTATTTATACAACTCAACATCAGTTTATTTTAGACCTCTATCAAAAAGGACATACCAAATAACGCCTAAATATTTGCAAAGCAACTCGCTGAAATCAGCAAAAAGATAATCGTTAATATTTTTAAATAAAGAAATATGGAAAAAAAAGCATATAACAATTGTTTCAACGTCGCAATGGAATGCATTGATGGAGCCGAAGTGTGTGAACCGATAGATTTATAAATTCTAGACTCTATATCTAGAGCCATTACTAAAAATGATTTAGGTCTTTACCGAGATAAAAGGGTTAAGGTAATGCACAAAAAAAAAATGTCTTGCACAGTTAAACAAAGTCTGAAAAAATATAATTGAGACATTTAAAAACATTGGATTCCAAATAGAGATCTAAACCAATCTAAACCAATCTAAACAGCGTTAATTTTCTTGACATATCTTTTAATTTTCAAAAAAAAACTCATATCAACCTTTTAAAAAACAAAGTTCTCAAGCAGATACCTCTCTTTATTATGATCTACTATCACGAAATTCTTTAGATGAAAAAATCTTTAACTCATCAAAACTAGAAGATGTAGAAGCATTTAAACAAAACGATTAAAAAAATTTAAAATTAAAGTTTTTAAACTGGTGAAAATCTTCTAATTTTCATGTCTAAAAATTGCCTTTGTGATTGTAAACAAAAAAAAATTCTGCCACTATATATATATATATATATATATATATATATATATATATATATATATATATATATATATATATATATATATATATATATATACAGTAGTATATATATATACAGTAGTATATATATATACAGTAGTATATATATATACAGTATGTATGTATATATATATATATATATATATATATATATATATATATATGTATATATATATATATATATATATATATATATATATATATATATATGTATATATATATATATATGTATATATATATATATATATATATATATATATATATATATATATATATATATATATATATATATATATATATATATATATATATATATATATATATATATATATATATATATATATAGACACACACTCACACTCATGGTAGAGTGGTTCTAAAAACAACATGTTTTTCTATTGAATTAAGCTTATTTTATCAAAAAAATATGCGCTCTTTTTTACAACAACAAAAAAATTGACAAATATTAAAAAACAATTTACATTTAAATTTAATACTTTAAAACCCTTTGCTTTTAATGTGTTGTAATTATTAGGATCTTATTTGTTACAGGAGTTTTAAAACTATTGGTTTTCAAAAGTATCGCGTTGTAATTAAATTTAATTTTAAACCTCGCTAAAGATTATTATAACTAATTTAACAAAAATTATTAATTTAATATAAATTTGGTATTTGAAAAAAATTATATTTCCTTATAATTTATTTCTTAAAACAATCTTAACATAATCATTTGTTTGTTTATTACAATTTATTTATTTTTAATTTTATGTATTTAATGTAGTATTTTTAACAGGTTTGATAGGTTTAAACCAAATGGTTTGAACCAATTGAAAAAATATCAATTTAAACCAAACTAATTTTTTGTTGAAAATATAAAAACCAATTTAAGTTGCTCTAGATAACATAGATGAGTTTTTTCCGGAATTCCTGGAATTCTGGAAATTCACTTTTAATTTTCCAGAAATTTTCAGATGTTTTTTGTTATTAATTTGAAAAAAAAGTTTATATATTTTTACATAAAATTTTAAATACAACAACTTTTGCATTTAAACAAATGTTTTCTTTAATTAAAATTTTTATGAGATCAATTTTCGTAACAATTTTTTTACTTTTTTGTTTGTTTTTTAATTCATTCAAATTAACTTTTTCGAATATTAGAAATTCCTTTTTGTAAAAAGTTAAATATTCTAAATTCCATTTTAAAAGTTTACGAAAGTTTTTGTTGTCTGTTACAAGGTTATTCATTCCTATATGCGCGTCTTTTCAATTTTATATGCGTTTCATTCTTACATGCGTTATAAAAAAGCAATAAGAACAAAAAAAAGTCATTTAAGCATTTTGTTTTGAAAAAACAATTTACTTTTTTCAAAACAAATTTTTCTTATTTCCTGGTAAACGAAGTTAAAAATACTTAAAACGAAGACTTTTTAGATTTGATGATGGTTTAATTAATTTAGTATCAGGTCTTTGTTTAATTTTATTACATTATTGATTAAATTATTGCTTGATTGATTAAATTATTATTTATCTAATTATTTATTTATATAGATTTAAATTTAATTATTTATAATTATTATTAATATATCTATATAAAAATTTAACAACCTATTTATTGTTTATATTAAATTATATTAGAGATTTTATGGGTGGTTTACTTGCATATAAATGCGCATATAAAAATGAATAACCCTGTAAAACAATCAATTTTTAGTTGAATAATTTTCCAGAATTTTCATAGAAAAAAATTTCCAGGATTTTCAAAAAGTCAAATACTCTATGAAATAAGTTGCAAAGAGATCAGTCAAAAATAAGTGATACTGTTGACATTTTTATTGAGCTGATAAACACATGTTTGTCATTTTTATCAGCTGAAAAAAAATGTATATTGGAAACTAGATACCTTCAGACTGTCAGTGATGCTCATTTCCTTGCAAACAGGCTAGATCCTAGATATTTTGGATCTAATCTTTGTGAAAATGAAAATAAAGCTTTAGAGATAAAGTATTTATGAACTTGTTACCATTAATATTAAAGTTAAAAACCAAATTTGCTCCATACGATAAAAGTTATTTGTATAGTGAATTGGTTTTAAAAAATAAATCACCAATAGAATGGTAGAAATCTCTTAAATTTTTGGACTGCAACATTATCATGGATATTGAAGGTTTGTTAAATGCACCAGCTTCTAGTGCTGAAATTGAAAATTTTTTTTCGACTTCTGGGATTGTTCATTCCAAGTTAAGGAACAAGATGGGAGTAGATAAAGCAGTGAAGCTTATTTTTAAATACATAACATTAAATAATGATGTATTGGTTAATGAATTACAGCAATAATGTTAATAGAAAATTTACTCAAATAAAATGACTAATTTTTTTTATTTTATTATTATTTGAAAAAGGTAACTAAACCGTGGCTTTTTTAGTTTTTTTAAAAAAACCCATAGTATTTGGTTTTTTTAAAAAAAAAGGTTTTTTTTTTGCAACCCTGATTTTTAATAAAGATTATAAGCAATTTATAGATAATTTTCATCAGTTAACAATAAGATATTTGTAAATGTAATTTATGTTCTTAAACGTATCAAGTCAAAAGAACTTTACATGATATTGAATTAATTTGAAACAAAAAAGATATTTGGAAAAAAATTTTCTTCAACAAAAGCACTTCTCCTTTTTTATAAGAAGTTTTTCTTTTGCTCATAATATTATAGTTGATATTATAATTTACTTTTCGCTTATAATAGTCTATGGTAATCTATGATGGAGTGACATATTTTATGTAATAAATTTGTTAGCAGACGATTTGAAAAAATCTTTAATAAAAATTGTGAAACTATTTTATATTCATTTGAAACTAAATTTTACATTCAACACTTTACTATTTTACATTCCTTTAAAACTAAATTTAATTTTTCAAAATCATATTTAATTTAAAGTCTATTAAAATTAAAATTTTTTAATATAAAACAATTTGTTTCTTTAAAAAATTCTTAGTTGTGTTTAAATGCTTTTTTTTATGACCTAACATTTTCTGAATAAACGTCACATTAATGATGTTAAAAGATAATTTAAATAATCAAAAATATATATTATATGCCTAACTGAGCGCTTTCGACATCTATATACTTACAAAAAAAATTTCGCTCAACTAAACGCTTTCCGCATTTACAAAAAATGCGAGCTGCGTAATGCTACTTAACAAAGCCTGTCAAAGAAATTTTTTTTTTGGCAAATTTAGTTAGACTTTTTATCTCTAAATTCTTAAATAAAATTTTTAAAAAAATATAAATAAAATAGTATTTTTGTTTAAACAAAACTTGTTATTTAGGAAGAATTTTATTAAATGCGTTTTAATGCTAGTACAATTTTCTTATGTTCTAATTAATAATAGATAATGCAGAAAACAAACTTTGACATTGTGACTTTAAAAATAAAGTTTTATTATATATATATATATATATATATATATATATATATATATATATATATATATATATATATATATATATATATATATATATATATATATATTTATATATTTATATATTAGGGAAGCGGAGTCCCAAAAAGGACTCTAGATATGAAAGGCACAAAAAGATAATTTCTTCCTAGTTTTTGATATTCAAGAGCTGTAAAAATATAGATAAGTTTATGGAATACTAATAGGAAAAAAATTAAGACTTTCAGGTAAAAGGAACAATCATTTTTTGAACCCGGAGTCCTTGGGTATAATGGTGGCAAGGACTCCTGGACTCCAGGACTCTGGGCTTAAAAGCAATAAGTTTCAAGTCATTAAATTTCACGAACATTTTACTCATAGCAGATCATAAGTCAATAAACACGTTTAGAGCTTCTGGACACTACAGACTTGGAAAAAGTAGAAATATAAAGCCGGAGTCCTTTTGGGACACCGCATCCCTGATATATATATATATATATATATATATATATATATATATATACATATATATAGGGTTGTTAACCGGAGGATTTCGTGCAA